CAAATTATATATTCACACATTATATATATATATATATATATATATATATATATATATATATATATATATATATGTATATGTATGCATACATGTGTATATATATACAATGTATATATGTACACACATACATATGTTTACATTTTTTAAAATTTTGTGCCTCTTACCTGTTCCTGTCTTCTCCTCCCTGACCCCCCTCCCCCAGTGGGATATAAGCTCTGTAAGGGTAGGGACTGTTTCAGTTTTATTTCTGTATCTCCAAGGACTTGCCCTGGGCTTTGTACATAGTTGGCATTATACTTGTTGAACAAATAGGGTACTTTGTAGGGATGTGTGTAATCATTAGGTGGTGCAGTGGATAGAGTGCCCAGCCTGGAGTCAGGAGGACTGATGTTCGTGAGTTAAAATCCAGCCTCAGACATTTGCTAGCTGTGTGACCCCAGGTAAGTCACTTCACCCTGTTTGTCTCAGTTTCTTCATCTGTCAAATGAGCTGGAGGAGGAAATGACAAACCACTCCAGTGTCTTTGCCAAGAAAACTCCAAATGGGGTCATGGAGAATTGGACATAACTGAAAAATGATTAAACAACAACAGCTGTAACCATATGGTTCTTTTGTTGCTGAATGTTGTTTTCACTTAAAAAAATGCCCTTGCAAAAGAGAACCTGTTGTTAAGAACATCAAATCATTAAATGCAGACTCTGCCTCTCCTCCACCCCCAGCACTATCTTAGCCATGAATGCTGGGGTGGAGTGCAGATGACTCATTTAAGGGAAGTTCTGACATTCATTCTATGCTATCTGTTTTATGTGGACAAGTGCTTTGCTTTGCAGTTCCAAGAGGCTCAGAAGAGCTGCTTTGCCCCGGAATCACAGAATCTCAGAGTTGGAAGGACCCTCAAGAGGCTGTCTAGCCCAACCTGTAACTCAAGTCAATGAGCAAGCATTTATTTAACAGCACTATGTGTCAGGTACTCTTCTAGGTACTAGGGATACAATGTCAACAAAACAAACAAACAAGCAAACAAAAAAACAAAACAAAACTGAGACAGTCTCCATTTTCAAATGTCTTATATTACCAAGCTTCACTCAAATGCTTCATTCAACTACTGCTTCAAGACATCCAGGAAAGAAGAACTTGCTGCCTCCCAAGGCAGCCCATTCCATGTTTGGACAGTTTGGAATTATTAGGAAGTTTTTCTTCATATCCAGTCTAAATCTGCCTCTTCACATCCGCCCCCCCCCCCAATTGCTCCTCATTCCAAATCTGCTTTCCAAAAGCACTTTCAAGTTGTGCTTTGAAACAAACATTAAAACCAATCAAAATGAATGCTTATGATTGAATATCATTGACATTAGGGAATAAGCAGAATTTTTGTTTTTGTTTTTTTACTCTCTAATGGAAAATAGCAAATTATCCCTGCATTTCCTCCTACTGGTTTATAAAGTGCTTGAGTGAGGAGAGACAGCTTGGTATCGTTGATACAATCATAGATTGGGAGTCAAGAAGACCTTGGTTTCAGTCCCACTTCTGACACTTGGATGTGCCATTGGAAAAACACTTACCCTCTTTGAATACATTTTCTTAGAAGTCTAATCTCTAGAGTATCCACCTCATAGGGTTATTGTGAGAACCACAGGAGATAATGCATTTAAAGTGCTTTGCAAACTGAAAGCGACATTGGCATCAGTTATTTTTAATTTCCAAGGGTACAGAAATTGGTCATTCTGGACCATGAAGCCTGGATTCTACTTTAGGCTTTGCTATTGGAGCTGCATGACCCCAGATAAGTTGCTTGTCCTTCTCGGGTCTCCATGTCACCATCTCTCAAATGAGCGGATTGAATTAGCTGATAGCTAAGGTCTCTGCCAACACTGAAATTCTATGAATCTAAAATCCAACCCAGATGTGCCCAGACCCATATTCAAGATGAAATATTTTAAAAAGCTCATGACTTCTATTACTTTATCTGCATAATTTCTTGCTATGCAGACCCTAGAGTGAAATGGCTGCTGTTCAACCGATGGACAATAATTGTGTCAATATAAGCAGATGAGAACAAGTTTCCTTCCTGAGATGACTGAGACCAAGCAACCTTTTCTGTTATCTGAATACTTCAGGTAAAAATAGTTTTATTGAGATCACCTCTATGGTTGTCTCAAGTCTTCCAAGTCTCCAGCCTATCGTAGGTGACTCTATTTCAGCAAGACCTCCTCCTGCCTCCAATTGAGAGGGGGTAATCCCATCATTTTAAATTTAATTTTGTGAAAATACTTAGGAAGGGAGAAGACAATAAGAAACACTTCTAAAGCACCTGCTATGTGCAGAGTACTGTGGTCAGCACTGGGGGAGATACAACCTTTGGATAAGGCATACATAGATACATAGCTGGCCTCCTCTGTGTCAGAAAGACCTAGGGTCATGGCCTGCTTTTGACACATACTGGTGATGTGACTCTTGGCAACCAGTATGGCCTCAGGGTCCTTATCTGTAAGCTAGGTGTGTATATGTTAGATGGCTTCTAAATTCCCTTCCAGTTCTAAATTTATGATCCTTGTATCTCATATTTGAGAATGTTATATTAATTTTTACGGAAGAGGAAACTGAGGCATTAGAGGTCAAGTGCCCTATGAAAAAGTTGCTTAATGGTTAGTACATATCTGAGATGTGATTTAAATTGTTATCTTTATTTACTACAAATTCAATGGTCTTTCCACCATGCCATCAGAGACATAGATACAGATACAGAAATAGAAGGCCCAGAATTATGGCCCTGCATTTGCGTGATTGTATCTAAATTTCAGACATATTCTTTCTTTTCGTTCTCACAAAGCAAAGTAACATCACTCATATAGAAATTGTGTCCTATAGAGGCCAAGTGATTTGCATAAGGTCATATAGTTGTTCTAAGAGGCTCTTTGATCTGAATGTCCAAATGACAACTGGTTGACTCTCTAGAAGCCAAATGTCTTAAACCAATGTAACTGGGATCAAGGTAATTGAGACCAAACTGAACAATCCTTGCCCTCCAGGAGTTTATAATCTAGCTGGGGGAGACAGAATGTACATAAGTAAGGATACCCAAAAGAGATACAAGACAATTTGGTGAGAGGCAGTGCTAGTAGCTGGAGGGGATCAGCAAATGCTTTCTGTAGAACATGGTGCTTGAGTTGAGTCATGAAGGCAACTAAAGATTCTAAGAGAGGCAAAGAGAGGGTGCATCCTAGGACGGCCAATGCAAAGGCTTGGAGATGGGAGATGGGGATCTGTGTATGAAGAGCAGTCCAATGTCCAGTTTGGTGTATGAAGGAGAATAATAGGTAATAAGAATGGGAGGGTAGGTTGGGGCTGGGTGATGAAGCTTTCTATGAGAAGCCACATCATGGAAGAAGTTGTGGATAGTGGGTTCATCGACTGAGGCTAGGGAGAGATTGTTTGTTGTTGTTTGGCCTTTGTTCTCGAAGAGGACCAATGACACCAGGAGGTGATGTCTTCACTTGCAAGTGAATTGGATTTGAGTGAGTGAGGGCTGTGCAAAGTCAGCAGCCTCACTCTCTCCTCCAGAGCCATCTGGGTCCAGGGGCAAGACATAGGTCAGGATGATTGGAGATGGCCCCAGAGGCAGTGGGAGACCTTGGCCTTTTTAAGCTAAGGTCCTTCCCAAGTCTCAGTTTTGCTGAGGCAACACCCACTCAGTGGTTAAAGACTAGGTAAGAATTGAGGCAAAAGGTGGCCTGGTTTGCCTTCTCAAAAGAAAGAATCTGGGAGAGGAAGACCCTCAGGGAGATAATTTGGGCAGAGAGGCCTTCCTAGAGACTCTCAAATCATCTAATACAATACAATGCTCTGATACCTCAATGCAGCAAATGCTTAAGCACCTATTATGGGCAGAGCTCTGTGACCAAGCAAGGGGGAAGAGATAGTTTAGGTAATTCACAGTGGCTGTTCTCATAGAACCAGTAGAGGGAAAAGACACCAATTCAGCTAACTGCAATACAAAATATTATATAATAAACGTATTAGAAAGTCACAGATTGGCATAGTGGATAGAGCTCTGACCTTGGAGTCAGGAGGACCTGAGTTCAAATCCAGCCTCAGACACTTGACACTTACTAGCTGTATGACCCTGTGCAAGTCACTTAACCCCGATTGCCTCACTAAAAAACAAAAAAAAAAAGAAAAAAAAAGTCACAGACCAAGGTACAGTGTAAAGTCCAAGGGGAAAGTCATAACCTATTGGGGAAGTCAGGAAAATCTTTCTGCAAAAGGCAATACTTGAATTAAGCTTTAAAGGTATGAAGAATATATCAATACATTAAAAGGAAGAGAGACAAAATAGAAACGAGGTCAAGATATGGGGGAGAAGGCTATATTGGGGGGAGGAGATGTCTGGCTGAAGCATCAAGTGCTTATAGGAGAGTAATATAAGACCAGAAAAGGAGGGAAGCTCTAGCTTCTGGAGAGCCTTGAATGCCAGGAAAAATTGAATTATTAGACTTGTCAAAAGGAGTTATTGAAGTTTTTTGAGTGGAAGTGGAGTTTGACCAGACCCATGCATACAGCCTTGATGAGCAAGCATTTATTAAATGCCCACTACATGACAAGCACTGGACTAAATGCTAGGGATATAAAGAAAGGCAAAAATGTTTCTGGCTTCAAGGAGTTTGCAGTCCAATGGGAGGGAACGTATGTAAACAATGTATATAAACAATATATGCATATATATGTATATGTATATATATATGCATACACACACATGTGCATATATACACACACATACACTATATATATGCATACACATACTCTATATATACATACATAAATATACATATATATATATATACACACACACATGTATACACACACACACACACATATGAAATAAACTGAGATAAGTAATTAGTGTTAAGGGAAGAAGACTACTGCCCTAGTTCAGGAAGAATATAATAAGGACCTGCAGAAGGGACTGCAGGAATAGAGAAGAGGGCATGTCAAGCTCCTACCTACTCCAGTGGCAACAACACTTCCTCTTCAAGGCACCACGTAGTCTACGTACTGATCTGAAGAATGTTCAGTCTTAGATTCCCAGATTGCTAGAGTTGGAAGGGACCTTAGCAATTGTCTTGTCTGGCCCCCTCATGTTACAGAGAAGAAAACAGGCCCAGAAAGGGAAATGACTCATTTAAGGTCCCACAGCGAATTCCTGGCACAGTCTGGATGAGAGCTGTGAGTTTCAGATGATATCGTTTGCTGTTGCTCAGCCAGGCAGGAGGACAGATAAGCAAATGTGTAACACTCCCCAAAGAAGAATCCACTCCTTTGCTTTCTTTTTACTTCAGTATGGACCTCTTCAAGGTGACTTTTCCAGGCCCTTGGGATCCAAGAGTCTTTTCCTTAAAGACAGCTGCACTTTAGTGTGAGACAGAAACTCTCTTTCAAAGATGCTGAGGAGCTGTCATCTCTTCGATACAGACATCTTCTCCAATGATTGATACAGATTTCACCCCATCCACGCCTTCCCAGCCTATGTTACTTCTGTACATCCTCTCCCCTAAGCTGGCATACACTCTATGTGCTGGAGGCGAGCTATATGATACCGGCAGATAACTGGTATAAAAAAAGGAACTTTTGTTTGAGGGAGAAGTTGGGGGTTATGAAATAACCTTGCAACTTCTCCAAAGCAATCCAGCTAGCTCTCCTCCTTCTGTTTCATTTTGGGCCCAGCTTATAGTCTATTCAAAATCAGACATACAGGGGACTAAATACTTTTGGTTTGCTGAAACAATTATGTTGGTGCCTTGTCAAGATATCTGTTTGCTACAGAAAGTCCATGCAAGTGGTGGTGACCTAATCTGGGGTTATTCAATGTCCTTGGCTCCAGGGCCCTTGCCAGTAATAGGCCTCTGGGATGAGATACCTTCAAATACAAATTTCTTAATGCTTACAAAAGCCTGCCAAGGGAACCTTCCAAGAAATCCCAGAGTGTGGAGAGAAGACAAAACTGCTACTGTCAGTGCATACAGCTTCTTGTGGTAGAAAACCTCCCAGACTCATAGGATCATAGATTTATAGCCTGAAGTCACCTTAGAGAACTTTTAATCTAATTCATCCATCCTTTCCAACTTCTGTTTTGAAGATGAAATAACTGAGGTCTGGAGGTAAAAAGACTGGCCCAAGGTCACACAGAGTGTGCTAGAGAATGCTAGAGAAATGAGTCTTCCTGGATTTTGAATCAAGGTTGCTAACTCCAAATCTAGCCCTCTTATCTCATCTGAAACAGTACCATTTTTATTCCTGAGTCAATAACCAATGGAATACAAGCTCCTTGAGGGCAGTGACTGTCTGAGGATTTTTGTCTTTGTATCTTCAGTACTTAGTGTAATGCTTGGCACATTATAGGTGCTTAATAAATGGTTGTTGAATTGAATTGAAATGATGCCTTGAACCATCTGACAGCCTGGGAAGCAGGAAACCTTTTCAGAGCTCAGGATCAAAGATTAGGCAGAGATCTGAGGGGGTGGGTGAATACAATACAATATGACAAATATTTATTAAGCGCCTACTATGTGCCAGGCATTGAGCTAAGTGCTAAGTACACAAATAAGAAAAAAAAAACCAGTTCCTGTCCTCAAGGAGCTTGCAATCTCATGGGTGAAGACAACACACAAAAAGGAAGCTGAAAAGGGGAAGATGCCAGAGGGGGCATGTTGATGATGGAGTGGAAATCGGGCAGAGGATCTAGTGGCAAATTAAGAGATGTCTGGGATTTTGAGTCCTTTGTGAAGGGAGGCCACAGGAGGAGTTCTCTGTTCCTTCTTCCAGCCTTCCAACCAGAGAAGCATAAGCAACTGGAGGGCATTGATGAGATAGGATGAGTTTCTTGGTGATGAATGCATCATACTTTCACAAGAACACTCTGCGATGGCACAGAATTCAGTGCCATGTGGTATGCCATGCAAGGAGATTTTATTATGGAAATAAGTGAGGTGGAGGTGTGAAGGAATCTCATTGTGCGCTACCCATAAGGCTGTGAGGACAGAATTAGAGAGAGGCACCACTAATACTCAATCAGCCCTGCTGATAACCATGCCCTCTTTCACAAAGACTTCAGGGTTTACTATAGAGGTCCAGAGACAGCGTGCAAGACACTGCAATTGAACTGTGATTCCACGATGCAGGTAATCCTTCGAAAGGTACTGCTAGCAGCCAACCCTCTGCCTTCATGTCCTCCTGGGTCCTTCCTATTTATGCCCTCTCATTAATCCTTCTCAAGGGCTTTCACACAACATGCAGCAAGCCTTCTTCCAGATTGCTCAACAATCACCGAATTTTTGAGTTGAGAAGGACCTTGGCTAATGAAGTAGACAAACTTTATTCATATCTAACCCTTGCTGTCATGACTCGAGGCCATTATCCTAGCAGAGGATAAGATGGATTGATAGTACCATGGAAGAAAGGAATATGAACTTGGACAGACTTCAAGAGGTAGTGAAGGATAGAAGGGCCTGGTGTTCATGGAGTCGCAAAGAGTTGGACCTGACTGAGTGACTGATTTCAGCACCAAGCTTGTGTGTGATATGAAGCTGTGGCAAACCTCCCATTTACCTGAAATTCTTCTTCTATTTGGACTCTGAACAGGACATTTCCCCTGGCAGCCCAAAGGTATATATCTACCTGTTTTATGACCCATTGGGTATTTATAAATAATATAACTTTTTTTAAGTTGCAAGAAGCAAGAGATGGCATGTGAAACAAGCATTATCATCCTCACTACTGTGTATGAGCCAGCCTCAGAATTAGGAAGACCAAGTACCACCTGTGACACAGGCTGACTGTGAGACTCTAGAAAAGTCCCTTAACTTTTCTGGGTCCCAGCAACTAGATTATACATCACATGGCAGGGGCTGATCTATATTGCTAGAGAGGTTTTCCACTGGGAGTTCCCTCCCTACCACAGTGAAATTGAAGATCTTTCCAGGTCTCTGTTCTTTAACTGGTGTAATGAATCACTCAGAGCACAAGGGTTTGTCCTTTTGCTAAAAAATATTCAATAACCTTATGGAGAAGTAATTTCCAAAAAGTTTAAAAACAGTTCAGAAAGATAAAAGCCCCTGGCAAGGAGGTTTTCTGGGATCTCAGGAACTCTCCTCCAAAATCTTAAAAACTGCTTTTATATTTTTCCTTGCTAAAAGGGCCCCATCTAGGTCCCAGATTAATCTGGTTAGTGGAGGAGTTAACTCAAACTGTCCCCAAATTTCTTTCTTTTCAACAATCTTGGCTGGTGTGGTGTGTGGGGTTAACTCATGCCTCTTGCATTCTACGAATATTTGAACACTAATTATCCAGACTAAAAAATAATAATGTACATCCCTATAGCGTTCTAAGATCTCCTCACAACAACAATGTGAGGGAGGTAATGTATTTATTATCATTTTACAAGTGAAGAAATAGAGGCCCAGAGAAGCTATGTGAACTTCCTGCGGCCACATACCTAGTGAATTTCAGAGCTAACCCATGAACTCAGCCCTTCTGACCCAAAATCAAATATTTTTATCTCTACACTGCAGGGACTCTTCATGGACTTTCTGTGCAGGGCTCTAGCATTTTCTCAGCCGTTCCTCAGAGCCAGGACCACGGCCAGGAGCCAGGCAGCCCTTGCATCTTGGAAAAGAGCCTCTCCTGGGTGGGAACATGCTATATTTATGTAAAATGGTTTGCTAATCATGAACTCAGCTTCCTTCTTTCAGTTAGCAACACTTTCCCTGGAAGTAAACACTGGAAAGAAAAAAGCAGGAGATGACACAAATTCCCCTAATGTCTTGCAGGTGGTCTGGCCTCTTTTCACAATTATCTAGAGAGTCACCTTCAGCCAGGGCTGGGCCCTCAGCAAAACTGCAAAGTTGGCCAAGGCTCCCACTCCACAGGTTATCTTCAACTGGTTCCCACAGGACCTTGTTTTCTGCCAACTACTGGCTACAATAGAATAGTGGACTGCCTTCTCTATCCAGACATAGGGATTCAAAGGAAAAGACAAGTCTTAATCTGGTTGCCCTGTGCGTGGCTTTTGATTGCTATATGTAGTGGCAAGCCTGTCGACCTGCCTTTCTTCTAAAAGATTGGTACTGCGATGGTCAGGCTAAGTGTCCACAGGTAGATAAAGTATAAACCCAAGTAGATAAAGAATGCAAATTGCCCAGATTATTATAGGTAATTGGATGGACAGTCCTTAGGTTCTAGATGAAGCCCTTGTAGCATGAAGCAACACCAAGCAGACACAATGCACCCAGTGGGGAACAGGCCCAGTGGAAGCAGCAGAAGGACATCACCAGAAGACACTGTTGTCACACTCCATGACACCTGTGTACCCCACATAGTGTGGTCTCTGTTCATGTTCACTTTCCTCAGTGATGGTGAGACAGTAGTTTATGAGGGGTAGGGTGTTTTCCTATAACTTTTCTTAAATATGCTATTTTGTTAATAACAATAATAATAGCCAGTATTTATATGGTTACAAGGTTTTCACAGTGTTTACATACATTATCTCATTTGACCCTCACAAAATCCTGTGAGATAAGTGCTAGTATCACCCTGATTTTACAGATGAGGAAGTAACTTGCCCAAGTTAGTTACATGTCCTCTAAGGCAGGATTTGAAAGAGTCAAGTCTTCTTGACCTTAAGTCTTGGGTTCAGTTTATTGGATTACCTAGCTGCCTTGCCTTGAACTGTATCCGTTGGCTGATTAGGAAAAAAAGAAGCAACTACAGTGGTGGGGGCTAGGAAAATATGGTTTTGAGTACATAGTGATCCACAGAGTATCCTGAACCTGGGTTGTTCTAGGGACCTTTTACATGAGAAGGAGGCATCAGTTTCTATACACAGATGAGAAAAATGAGAGCAGAGAGGTCAAAATGAGATCCAGATTCATATAGTGAATAAGTATAAGGGCTAGAATTTGAACCCATGTTTTCTGACTCTACGTCCAATGTTCTTTTCCCAACACCATACTCATCCTTCTATCCAACACTGGGCTCTTAATTATTAATTAATACCTATGTGACATTGGTCAAGCCACTTTGTCTCTCTAAGTCTTATATTCCTCTTGTGTAAAATGAAAGGTTTCATCTCTTAGCTTGGATCATCTGTGCTTTTAGGGCTATTCTAATTTCAGCATTCCATATTCTATGATTCCTTCCTGCTCTATCATTCTTGCTTCTGTAGTCCCTTCCTGAATTAAAATCCTATGCTAATTACATCTAAGTGCTGAGGGTCATTGGGCTAAGTGGACTAACCCCAGAACCAAAGAGAGCTAGTCTGAATGACACTTGGTTTTGTACCTCCAATGCATTTATCATGTGATATTGTGCGTTATAGTTATCTGTGTTTTCTTCTTATCCCCCTACCAGACTGTAGAAGCTTCATGAGAGCAGGGACAGTGTCTTAAGCTAAACTCTGCATATCCTCCAATGCCTAGCACAGTACTCTGCAAACAGTAAATTTTTGCTGATTAAATAAATGAGGTAATCATGATCTAAGACAGGACCTTTTCTCTGTCTTAGAATCTGAAT